CATGAATTTGAGGCCATCCTGGGCTGTACAAGAACATGTCTTGAAAGAGAAAGAAACGTGAGGACCATATGTGTCCTTCAAAGCCTCATCTGTTTTCTCTAACTAGGCTTCCTCTTCCATGGTCCTACTACTTCTCAAAAACTTATTCAGATTTTGAACCTATGAATAGATTATGCCCATCCATTAAGTCAGAGTCCTCATTATCTATTTGTTTATAGAAATGCCCTAAACACTCAAAGGTGTGCTTACAAAGATCCCAGGTGTCTCTCAGCTCCATCCAGTTGGTAACCCATCCAGTTGTAAGCTGTAGTTCATAGTTTTACCCTTTTTACATTTTTGGCTCTTTTTGAGGCTTGCCACCAGCTCCCAAATAAATCACACAGAAACTTATTCTTTCTTATAAATGTCTGAGGTTAGCATGGTTTGTTTTTCTTAAATTTCTTAAATTATCTGTCTACCTTTCCCCACTAGGCTTTTTTTTTTTTTTTTTTTTTGTCTTTCTCCATTCTATATACCTTTCTTTACTTATTACTCTGTGGCTTGCTGTGTACTTGGGTGACTTGGGTGTCTAGGTGTCTGGATGACTGGGTGTCTGGGTGGCTGTGTAGCTGGGTGTCTGGGAGACTGGGTGGCTGGATGACTGGGTGGCTATGTATCTGGGTGGCTGGGTGACTGGGGGCTGGGTGTCCTGGTGTCTGGGTGGCTGTGTAGCTGGGTGACTGGCTGGCCGGAGGTTGTGCAGCTGGGTGGCTGGGTGGCCAGGGGACTGGGTGGCTGGATGGCTGGGTGGCTGGGTGGCTGGGTGGCTGTGTAGCTGGGTGTCTGGGGGCTAGATGTGCTGGTGTCTAGGTAGCTGTGTAGCTCGGTGACTGGCCCCTTGCATTTTGTTTTCCTCCTTTTGTCACTCCTTGATTCCCTCTTCCAAGATTTCTCCTCCCATTTATTCTCTCTGCCTGCCAGCCCTGCCTATCCTTTCTCCTGCCTTTCTATTGGCCATTCAGTTCTTTATTAGACCAATCAGGCATTTATTTACAATTAGGCAAAGTAACACAGTTTCACAGAGTTAAACACAATATATAGGGTGCGACACATCTTTGCATCATTAAACAAATATTCAACAGCATATAAGAGTGTAACACACCTATAACTAATATTCCACAACAGTCACCCATCACAGTCAAGAAACTACCAGACAAGTGAACAAGTATGAAGGAGATGGAATGACCCACCCCTTGAGCTTCTACATTCCATGTCTTTCTTACAATGTATGTCTATTCATCCATCCTATCTTGATCCAATCTGGACACAAATGGGCCCAAACTTTAGCCAAGTGACAACCACCAGAAAGACTGAAACAGAGCAGCTTGTGTCACAGTCCTGTTCACTCCGCCCTCGGTAGCTGCTGGGAAATTCCTCTTCTATGACTTTTCAGGGATTGAAAATGAGCATTTGTGCAGACTCTAGTTAGCTGGGTTATCTTCAACCTAAGGAGGGAGGGAGTTGCTCAATTCTGTAGCTTCTTCTCTATGCTGCCACTAAGTTCTGACAAAGGCTTATGACAGGCAGGCAGGATCCAAAGGAAGATAACTTTATTCTATCAATGTTATGGTTTGAATCCACAATGTTCCTCATGACATCACTATTTGATTGATCCCAGATGCTGGCAATATTTTGGGAGGTTGCAGAAACCATAGGAAGTGGTGCCTGGCTGGGAGAAGTAGATTGCTGGTCTGTAGGAACATTTGCTTCCTGAACTGATCTATGCTTTTTGGTCCATGATGAAAAGAGAATATTTCAGACACGCCACACCTACGGGGATGGGCTTCATCCTCTGAAACCATTGACTGCATTCTCCGAAACATGAACAAAACTAAACCTTTCTTTACACAACCAGTTTCCACCAGACATTCCATCACAGCAATGAAAATCGACTAAAACCATCACCACGTTAGCATGCTTTCTCATGACGCCAGGTACTCAAAGACACATGCATATAAGACAGAGGCACAGCCAAGGCTCTTGACTCTGAGGCCAGTCTGTTTGTTAAGATCCATTTCCTTCTCAATTACTGGATGGCCTATTGGGGTAACCACATTCACCTGAAGGTACCTGAGAGGTTCTCATAAGCTGCCCCAAGAACTCCACAGCATCAGCCCACAGGCCTCATCTCTACTAGATACTCTGGGAAGCCTCATCTTAACTAGATACTCTTGGGAGGTCGCATCTTAACTAGACACTCTGGGAGGCCTCATTTTAACTAGATACTCTGGAAGACCTCATCTTAACTAGACACTCTGGGAGGCCTCATCTTAACTAGACACTCTGGGAGGCCTCATCTTAACTAGATACTCTGGAAGGCCTCATCTTAACTAGACACTCTGGAAGGCCTCATCTTAACTAGATACTCTGGGAGGCCACATCTTAACTAGATACTCTGGGAGTCCACATCTTAACTAGATACTCTGGGAGGCTCTAATCTTAGAGCATCACTGAGCTTTAGAGAGCCCTGTTTTATTGGGGACAAGTTTAGAAGAAAGAAAATCAACCGGAGAAATGGACTTCTAACAACTATTGAGGAGAGATAATTGACACAAAGGAGAAAAAGCAACGTTACATTTATTGGGCCACACTGACCCATTTGTGCCCGTCATTTCACGACCTCCCCATTTCACACACTGGTACACAAATGTACCAACCGACCCACTGCCTTCTGTTACATTAATAAGTGTGTGATACAGTTTTCTTTTTAAATAAGACTTGTGTTTCAGTAGAGCCCCACTAAGAATTCTCAGTTATAACGACATCCACATCCAGTTTACGGTCATGATTTTTATGACTGCTTTCAGCACGGGGACGATGGGGAGACAAGACATTTATGTTCCTGGGCCATAAGCAGCTGTCTTTGAAGAGATAGCTTCACTCTGGAAAAAAAAAGTCAATTTCATGGCTGCAACTTATTGTATAAATGAGACTAATGTGTCAACTCAAAATAGTATGTGTCTATTGTGAGGGTTAGAAATACGTAGCAGATGGACAGAATTCAAGGTACTTGCATGTTGGTATTTCTTTGAGGAGGAGGTAAACAAACATGGTTTTCTCGGCTTGGGTGGAAGCTGAGACAAGAGGAAAAGGCAGTGTTCACACACAACCAAGCGAATGAGGAGGGTTGGGTTTCTTCTTGGCATAGCAGAGTTAGCCAAGCACTGAGCGTGTAGTCTTTGCGATTTCCTAAAGCATGACGGTATATGTCCATCTGCGAGTTACGATATGTGAGTTACCAAGCAGATCTATTTAGGACAACCAGACACACAAGCTAAACTGTGCAGTGGGCTCACTCTGGATCCTAATAATAAAATGCCAGAAGCAGCTTTGCTCTTCTGAAATTCTCCTAATGCAAAGAACCCTGGTCACGTGAGAATATCTTCATGCCCAAAGTACACTATGCTGTTTGATAGTCCTTTGCATATGCTTCTTTCTGGGCTTGGAATTTCTCTCCACCTCCATCCCCTCTGTGCCATCAATACGTCTAGGAGGCATTCCCCATTTCCTTCACCTTCTGCACTCCGAGGCTACCCAGGCTTGCTACTGTCATTGTGCTGATCCCACTATCATCCCATTGTTTCCAAGATGTTTTCCCACTAGGTTCTGTGCTTTCCACGGATAGACAGTACACCCTTTGATAGAATGTATATACAATCTACACAGCCTGTATGTCAAGTGAACGGACAATGTGTGGTAAGGAAGCAGAATCGGAGCTCTCATTGCATCATCTTCCCCCATCGTAAACCGTCACCTACAAAACAGGCAGCTCTGCTTTGTAGCGTACTCAGGGAAACCGAAATGTTCAATGGAAAAAGGAGTAGGGTCCCATTAATTCCTTTTGACCTGATACGTGAGTATCACTTTATCAGTATAATTTTGAGTAAGATGAATTATGTTAGGAGATTATTAATGATAGGGAGCACCTTGGTTCTCGTGAAAAGTGGGGATGCAGTGTTACTTTTTATACATCCTCATCTACTGAAAAAGCATAGGGTACCACGGCTAGCTGAGTAAGCCAGAGACACCTCCCGACCACCACTGCTCATGCAGGCCAGGGAATTGCCTGCATAATTGCATCACTTGAACTCTGCAAGCAGCTCTGTAGTGTGGCTAAACGTGATAATTTTCTCCATGAAGTGGACAATATTGCAATTTACCATGGAACATTACCAGGGTTCACGCTGTCCTGACCCAAATTTCTAACATTTTTGTTGAAAATTTCCCCATCTAATGTAGGCATGTAATTGAGGAGTAAGCCTGTCCTTCTGGATATATGTTGCTCTTATTGGTTGAAGAATAAAGCTGTTTAGCCAGTGGCTTAGCAGAGTAAAGTCAGGTGGAAAATCAAAACAGAGATAGACAGAGTAGTTGGAGTCAAGGAGACACCTTGTAGCTGCTGAAGGAGAAAGATACCAGAATATTACAGGTAAGCCACAGCCTCATGGCGATACACAGATTAATAGAAATGTATTAATTTGAGATATAAGAGCTAGCTAGAAATATGCCTGAGCCATTGGCCAAAGCAGCTTCTTCATTAACCAAAGGTAATAAAACGTATTCACAGCATAGAGAGGAGACTCCCACATCAGCTTACAGAGAACTTTAGGCCTCTTTTCAGTGAAGAGATGAACACAGGATATGTAAAAACCCATCCACCTTTCAGTGAGCACAGACTAATTCTTCAAAGCTCTATGTAACATTAGAATCTCACATTTTGTAAGATTTTGATCAATTTTTTGATAAGCACGTCACCTGAAAAATCAATCTTCCCCACTTTCCAGGTTAATCCTCCCAGGGGACATGTTTGAAGAAGTCAGTCTCCGGGGCTTTGTCTTTCAACTCTGTGGTCTCTCTTTGGCTGAGCCCACAGAAGTTCACGGCTGAGCTTGCATCAAAGCAACAGTGCCCTGCAGAATGGCTGGCGACATCAGGGAAGAAGGAGGAGAGAGTCTACTGACCTTGTGAAGCTCCACAGGAGTTGGGGACATGATCTCCTTAATTTCTTGCTTCATTTTCCTCAGGGTTACTGACTTCCTGCCCACATCTGAAGGCAGAGTGTTGCTGCGAGTCGTTTGGCTGTAGTGTGGCCGTGAGCTGCTCCGTTCCTGGAAGCTGGCCTGCCGCCCCAGCTGAGTGCGGGCCGTTGGAGCCTCATGATTCAAACTCATGGTGCTCCCCGACATGATTGTTGCCTGTGGCATTGACAATTTTCAGAGACAATTAAACCACAGAAAAGGAAAGGGTTTGCTTGCTCAACGTTTAGCACAATTCTCCCTCTGCCCAGTCAAAATATGGTGTCTTCAGGGCATAACCAAAGGCTGGAGAATGGACGCACTAGCTGAACTATGAAAATCTGGAACATGCTTTGCAATGACATTTAGAACGCACATCTTGAATCCAATGGAAGTACTTAAGCCCTTGAGTTTATTTAATCAAATACCACCCCTAGCAATGCTGAGGCAAACTGAAAAGCCCCAACTCTAGCTTACTGCACACTGCACTTTCATTTTAAGCACCAACTTCGCACCAAGCTGACTGTAAGAGCTGGGATTCATTAAGCCATCTTCAGTGTGTCTTAGAGAGCTCGCCGGAGAGCTTCACAGTGAAGACCAGGCTGTTGCTGTCTGTAATGCTGCCTCTGGCTCCAACAGAAGCGAACCACAGGCTGGAACGGGATGACTGACTGATGCAGAGGCAAAGGGTCTCCTAGCACTTCCAGCCTGATACCGTTAAGACCATCGTTCCTCTGGCCCAGTGACCTGCCTCAGAACTTACAAATGCATCTTTTAATATCCATCAGCATTTAGCTTCTACATATCATGGCACAGATAGTGTTTCTTAGAAATGATCTCTGTGTAATATTCTCAGAGAGGCTTTAAAAAATTACCCTTTTATATAGGATTCAACCATTTGCTCAATTCAATCATTGCTCAACTCTGAGATTTGGATTGGATTTTACCAATGAAAGCGAAGTTTGCTCTGCTTCAAATATATTCCCTGAATAATACATAAGCAATGGAGAGATTGCATCCCTGAATTTCAGAACTGGAACAAAAGAGGGTTTGCAAGCAGTATCATGATGGGAATGGCATTTCTCATGCTGGGCAGTGCCAGCACTCTAAAGCCAGGACTGTGGCCATCTCTCTATACTTTATACGAAGCTTGTATACAAATGTATGTACTGGTAAATGTGCCTGAAATTATAGAAACAGAAATTATGTCCATGCCCATGTGAATAAATAATATGTGGCTTGTTTACATTAATGAAAAAGCCGGAAGCAACAAAGCCTGATCTGTTGAACTCTGTGGGATGGATTCATTAATTTAAGCCTCAGAAGTCTGTCCGGGAGGCACTTGACTCATCCCGGTTTATAGGAGACTGAAGCATAAAGAAGTTTACTTGCCCAAGGTCACCTAAGCTGGGACTGAACCAAGGATGAACCTGTAGCTATGCCATACAGGGAACACTGCAGAGGGAGCGGCATCTTTATTTGTCATCGAGAGTAAGAGTTTATATCTCTCTGTCCATGTTTATATGTGTGCCACTAAGGAAGCACCACCGTCAAGTACTGGCGCAAATATACACAGATCTAAACTGCACGGAAAAGAAACAAACCCGACAAACACGTGCTGCCTAGACCACGCATGCCATAGATGCTTTGGAGAATGGACGCTCTAGCTGTAGGGAAATCCTTGCCGATGACTGAGCGCCCCCTACAGTATCACTTGATATTCAGTACCAGCACAGGGAGGGTTTATAGGCTGTGCGTCTCATTCCTTCACGGTGGGAGGAAGAAGCTGGACATATGGGTTCTGGATCTTGTTGTGAGTCTGGTAATGGGAACCCCAGCTGTCGGTTGCAATCTTGCTCCTTGCCTAACTGGCTCTCTGCCTTTCCCGGTCACATAAACTGCTCCTCTGTAGGTAAAAAAAAAATGTCTCTAATATTTAAGCAAATGTAGGCATCTATAGTATTGCATATTTCTGATAAATATCTTTTTGAGGTTGATTGACACCTCTCTATGGCCAGCTATGTTGGTGTCATGGGAGGCCTTTCATTTGATGGCGCTTACATACACCACTTCTGTCTTTAGTCTGTGGCATCTGACAGGACCCGATGATTTTTTTTTTCTGCAGTGGTGACCATCTTTCATTGTTCTTTCCTACTTAGAACCTTTATCTGCTTTATTTATATCTATTTTTTCTTCTCATTTTTTGTGAGACCCACAGGAAGCATGTGGGAAATAAATCCATGACTGAGGCTGAGGGCTGACATTCTGGCTTTGATGAGTCTAAGCTGCTGGAGGAGACATTGCCTATGGGTTTTACTAGGGTCCCGTGGCCAAGAGGAAAGGTAAGAACACCTCCTTGTTCAAGTTTTCAAACCATGAGCGCAAGGGAATTAACAGCATCTAAAATGATTATAAAAGCTAAAGTACAAATACAATTTAGGTTCAGACATCTGATTAGACGTTTGTCTGTTAAAATAGTTAAAATAGCATTCATTAAGAAATAGCAAACTCAGTACTTGAGTTTTATTGCACTCATTAAACATTAGGTTCTTTATTAACATTATGTCAAATATTAGATCACTATAATTTCTATTTTATTTTAATTTTTTAAGACAGGGTTTCTCTGTGTAGCCCTGGCTGTACTGGAACTCACTCTGTAGACCAGGCTGGTTTCGAAATCACAGAGATCCACCTGCCTCTGCCTCCCAAGTTGCAATCAGAGGTGTGCAACACCACCGCCTTTGTTTTACACAAGCAAAAGCTGGTAAGAGAGGTTTAAAATTGCTCAAAGCCTTAATTTGAGTTTTTAAGCTTCAGGGAAGGCTGAATATTTTTCAGTGCTAAAGTTAAACCTAAATTATTGCTAGTAATAATGAAAATAATTAATAAATTCTCATTTTAATCACAATCAGTTTAGCTAATCTATATTTATAAACTCCGTAGTTTGCTTTTGCTGTTGAAGGTAAATTTCATCGACAGGACTCTAGCTTCAATAAAAAAATGTAAGAGCTGTCTCAATCAAGAGAACATAATTTATGTAAACGATGTTTAAAATTTTTGTGATACTAGTATAAATATGACTCTAATATATGCACCTGGTGTGCATTCTTCCCAGCTGAAAATGTAGCTTCTCTCTGGCTTAAAGCTCAGCCCCTTTCCTCTCTGCACCTGTAATTCCCAGGCCCACACCATGATGCAAGGCTGTGAAGGAGGAACCTGCAGGCTATTGTAACACACTTCCACCTGCAGGCCATTGTAGCACACTTCCGTGGCCCGTGGTTTTCATGAGCTAACTCAGAGTCCAGGTAATGGCCCAGGCTCATGGAGTTACCTTTTATAGGACCTTCAATGTGCACAATGAAGCAGCAAGAAGAGTGAGTTCCACAGGAGAAAGGTATCAAAATGGGAAAGGAAGGGGAGCCAAAGTAAGTCAGGTGAGGGCATTGGCTCAAGAACTACCAATTGTGTTCCTTATTCAGCCTGTGCCACACGCCCATTCTACTTCACGGGGTGGTAAGAGCTTAAATAAACCAGCTGGCATTTAAGAATTGTGCTCTTTTAGCAAACTGGAATCAATGTCTCACAAATTACTTTAAATTTTATAAGTCTATCCATGCCCAGGTCCTTTAACTGTGCTCTGAAGCCAAAATTCATGCCACGTCATCTATGGTGTCTATAAATCCAAACTACCACTCTCCTTTAGAGTTCGCTTTGCAGATTCGCAAACATTAGAATCACATAAAGTATCCACACATGCAATTGAGAAGCAAAATAATATAGAGATGAATAACCAGTTTAGAATTGCAAGAGTTCCGCCCGGCTGTGCCATTCGCATTCCTTAGAGTGACTTGGGGACCTCATATGACATCAAACAAAAATGAGACTTCCACCACTTTACATTCTACAGCTTAGAAACTTTAAAAGAACATAAAAGGAAACATTCCAGGCCTTCCCAGACTAAGTCTGAATACTGTCAGCAGATTCAGGGCTTTAAGAAATTGCCCAGAGTTCAGCTGTTACAATCCAACCTGTTCCTCCTCAGATTCGGGCGAAGCTGATACAGAATTAAGATTTCCAATGGTCAGCAAAGCAGGGACTAATCTTTCCCCTGCTTATCACATAGACCGGTCTTTTTAAACAGCCACATGACTATCAACTTAAGGGGAAAACCAAATATAACTGTGTTTCCTCTTATGTTCCTCTTGACGGTCAAATTAATTTCTATACCAGGTACAGATGAAAACATGCCAAAGAAACCTTTCGGAAGCAGCTAGAGAGAAATGCACCAGTGTTGGTAGTCTGGGTTGGCTCCTTAGCGATTTGGGGGGACACAGGGACAGTCAGGATTAGCAGGGGAGCAATGGCGGAAGCCACAAGTCAGTAAGAACTGCATTGTATAAAATCAAACTGCTGTCTGGAAGGCAAGGGCAGGGGAGGCAGCTTCACAAGCAAAAGTATAAACAGAAAGGGTAGCTACCAAGAGAGTCATGTTTCTCAATGACACACGCCTGTCAGCTTTCTCCTGTGGAAAGGGTTAAAGCTTTTAAATGAACTGCTGTGATCAATGCAAACATAAAAGGACCAAAAAAACCAAAACAAAACAAAAAACCAAAAATGAATGTAGAAGTAAGATTAAGCAGCGGGACCAAGGCTACCTCAAGTTCTCTCAGGATCCCCGATTGGCCACAGGTCTCCAGGTCCTCCAGTGCTTGAGACCAGAAGTTTTCCTCTTGTTCAGCCTCTGCACTGTCTGAGGCCCCTGCGAAGCTGCCAGTAAGAAACACATTCTGGATTAAGGAAAATGCGTGTGGTTGTGTGTGGGTGCGGATGCGCACACACACACGTGTGTGTGCAGGCATGCACACACACACAGAGTGTACACATGCATACAAACTTGTACTCATACACACACATACACACAGAGTGCACACATGCATACAAACTTGTACACACACAGAGTGTACACATGCAAACTTGTACGCACACACACACACATACACAGAGTGCACACATGCATACAAACTTGCACACACACATGAATGAACATACACTTCTGTACATCAAATATTTCTTCTCATTTTCCACAAAAAGAGGGAAGAAAGGATCCACTTTGGATTGTGGCCTCCATGTAAAGGCATCTCTGATATGTTAGTGTGAATTAACATATGAATTAACATGCAGAATTAAATAGCCTTTGTCACTACTGCTGGCTTTCAGAGTACTCATGCTGCATCAGTGTGGCTGGGCTGTGACAGATGGCACCATGGGAATATATTTCCATCTATAGGGGAGAACTAATCACGCCTAAGAATTTATAAAATCATTATAAACAAATTGATGCCTTCACTTTTTATGCTTTCTTAAAACTATTTTGATAAGGAACCAACCCTAAGATATACTTCTTTTTAAAAAATATTTATTATGTATATAGTGTTCTATCTGCACGTATGCCTGTAGGCCAGAAGAAGGCATCAGATCTCAATATAGATGGCTGTGAGCCACCAAGTGGCTGCTGGGAATTGAACTCAGGACCTCTGGAAGAGCAGCCAGTGCTCTTAACCTCTGAGCCATCTCTCTAGCCTAGATACACTTCTTCATTAAGCAAGGACAGAACTTGGGTTGAGGGAATGGCTTAATCAGTCAAGTGCTTGCCCTGGAAGTCTGAGCACCCGAGGCTAATAATAATCTGTGGAAGCACACGCTAGCAATCCCAGCCCTGGGAGGCAGAGACCGGTGGATCCCGGGGGCTGCTGGCAGTCAGTCTAATCTAAGTAGTGAGCTCTGAGTAAATGGGTTCCTGTGGTTGCAACAGGCACATGTGTGAGTGTAAACACACACACACACACACACCCCTCTATGGTTCTTTTGTCTGGGACTGGTAGCAGACACCACACCGATGGGAGTCTGTGGCAAAGGGGAGTTTCAGGTGAGCCTGGGGCTCCATGTGGGACTCTGTCTCAAAGCAAGTGTTTCTTACACGTGGCTGTGAAACTGCCTGTGGGAGAAGGGAAAGGAGCTGTTTGCCACGGAAAGTACACGGCTCCTAGAAGCTGGCGTCCCCCACGGCTACTCTGGGAAACTGCACTGTTGCCTGGCGCTACTCGGCTATCCCTCAGCGGGCACACGTTCTAGAGACCTAAGTGGCTGATGTGGATGGTTAAAGTGGTGGCTTCACAAGGTCCACTGGGTGCAGAGGCGCAGCTCCTCCCACTGAAATCGGGAAGTCACCTCGGACAGCGCCGCAGTGTAGGTGGAGGGGGCAACCTTACCCGCTGGCCGTGGACCGATCCCAGTCTTCGCTACTCAGCCCCACATCTGGGTAAGTCTGGCTTCGAGGCTTGGGGACCGGGGACAGACTGCCTCTTTGTTTTGGACTCCTCCAATCATAGGTGTTGAAATTGTATCCTGAAGTCTGAAAAGTGGTACCTGAAACAGAAGCAAGGCTTACGAGCCGGCCTGAGGACTGTCACATCTGTTGAGCTATGACATCATTGGCCAGAAGAGGGTGGGATAGTAAGTGCCAGCAGGAACAGCATCCTGCCTCAGTGCTCTGAGGGCTTTCTTCACACAGCTATGGTAATATGAATATTTGCAATTAAAAGATGAAGTTGAAGGCTTTGTAGTATCTACGCCTTCGGGGGCTTCAAGTCACAGCTTCAGGGGAACCAGTTTTCAGGTCCTCCAGGGCCATATGCACACCTCCATCTTCCCACTCTGCCTTGGCTGACCCAGCTCAGAGCTCTGGACCAACACGTTCTTGTTTCTCACTTCTCTGTTCACAGCCGTCCCACCATGTGTCAGTGACAAGACTCATTTCTCACTTAATTTAAACTCTTGAGGGTGCGTGACCTGGAGTCTCAGGAGCATGGCGCAAGCCGCCAAATCCAGGTGAGGAAAGGGCACCCAGAGGCTGGGTCATAGTTGAACCAGGCACACTCAGGGGGAGGCATTTATCACTCCATATTGCCCTGCCGTTTGCCTCTTTCTGAAAGTCAGAAGGAAGGACGATATCAGGGAGAGGAAGCTTAAATAGCAAAACAAAGATTGTGCTTCCTGGTTGGGGGAGGGGTTAAGTCTGATGAGCTTGATGGGGGATTAGGGAACAATTAGGTTATGCAATATTCATTCCCCTTGAATTTCAGCTATGTCTATAACACCGAGATTTCGACAGTAATAGACTTAAAGGGTATTTATAATAAGAAAAATGACATCCTTTGCAGTCCTGTTGAGGAAAGCATTTAGAGGGCATCTTCACATATGTGGTGGAGTATATAGCTTTTTGGCATACTTGTTGGGGTTCACCTGAGAAAGGAAGGGCATATGCATAGGGCTGACTCCACAGCCTGTATGGTAATTATCACACATTTCTTAGTCCATTTTCTCAGGTTGTGTAAACACACATATGGCTTGGCAGATGTGTGTCTTACTTTATTTAAGGAATTCAACGTAACAAACAGCCCTCAACCCCTATTTTCACTATTTTTAGTGGTTAGAACTTGGGTCACAAAAGGGGTCAAAAGATGGCCAAATGAGAGCGCGAAGTTAGCATGCCAGTACTGGTTAGGTCTAGGGGCTGGGAAGCTGGAGTTGACCAAGCTGGAAAGAGTAACGGTGAAGACACAGTCATAGTAAGGGCTGCTCTTACCCTGAAAGCCATCAATACATTCTCCCCACCTAAGAATATACTGTGGTCTCTCTCTCTCTTTTTTTAAAAAATTTATTTATTATGTATATAGTGATCTCATTATAGATTATGGTGTGAGCCATCATGTGGTTGCTGGGAATTGAACTCAGGACCTTTGGAAGAGCATGCAATGCTCTTAACCTCTGAGCCATCTCTCCAGCCCCTCTGGTTTCTCTTACTATCTACATGTGTTCCTCCCTTCAGGGGGAAGGTAAGTCATCTGATTAGCCAGGAGGGACAATCTCTTGGCCCATTGCTGTCTCTGTTCATCCTCTCCCGCTGCCACTGGCCTGGGTGGTAAGCTAGATATAGTCTGTGAGATGCCCTGGCCATTCCCATGGCCAGGAGACTTCTCCGAAGAATCCTTACAACTTTTGTTCCAGATGTTGGAAATGCAAGCCAAACAGCTGGAGCACTGGTAACTATTTGAACCAGGAAATGACCCATAAGAGCGCTAAGTATTTAGGAGCATAGAACCCAAAGCACCACAAAGTTTTTTTTATATAAATCAGTTTTAATATGCCTACGTCTTTAAAATGAAATCATGTCACTGTTAGGACTTGGAAAAAGTACCCTGGTTCTGGCTACAGGATAGGCTTAGCTTCTTTAGCATGTGCACTTACCTTTGCAGGAGCATGCCCGTACACACACACACACACACACACACACACACACACTTTAGAGCTAACTCCAACATTTACTTCACAACACTTTTTGGGTTGATAAAGAACAGGATGGATTAACATATGCAAACACTAATAGTTTTCAATATATTTATTATACTAGGGACCAAATTTTACTTAGAGAATAATGAAGAATTTTGGATGTAACGGAGGAAAGTGCACCCTAGAGAGGCCCAGTTGCAAAGTATTCTATATTGGAAATTCAAGGCCTTTGGCTTTAGTTTGTGACATCAGAGAACCAGTTAGAGGGTATTTGGGGTATTTGAGCCTTTTTAAAAAAGAGAGTCTGTGACTATTACTATATTTGGCTTTTCTAAACAACACTGACAGGACTATGAGATTAGACACTCAAAGAAAGAGTTAAGTGAGAACGTAGGCGTGGTGCTCCAGACTTGATGGAGGCTCTGTATGTAACAAAGGCAGCAGTGATGGGTGACACCAGAGATGCTAATCGGTAGAAGCAGTAAGATGCGTGGGCCCTGATGCCGTTAAGGCACTGCTTGCCTTCGCCAGGCTCTGGGTTTCACTGTGAGACAATAAATCTGCACCTTGGTGAGATGCAGACATGTTGGTTCTCACGTATAAGTCGCTGAATGCAACCCCTAACTGCCTTAGGAGGATATCAATACTATGACTTAAAGTGGGGGAATTAGGTGAGTGACGGCCAGCTGCTTCTCAGATGTGGGAAGGTAACAAATCCCGAGGAATGATCCTCTACCCCGGGAACAAACTGTAGCTGTTGCAAACGAAAAGTAAACTGTAAAAGATAATTAAATATTGTTTTTATTGAATGGCAGTACTGGCCAGTAAATGCAATTAAAATGCATTTAGGATGTGGGAAACTACATTTGCATGAGTGTGTTTGTGTATTGGTTGAGTGTGTGTGTGAGAATGCACATGCATGTGCACTTTTGTGCATGCCAGAAAGTTATGTTTGATATCTTCCCCAAAGGCTCTCCACCTCTGTCTTTTAAGGCACGATTTCTCACCAAACCTGGAGCTTGCTGGCTGGCATCTGGCTGGATCGGAAGCCTTAGAACCCCTGCCTTCCCTTCCTCTCCAGTGCGAGGATGTCCCTGATTGCTTTGTTTGTTTTGATGTAGGTCTGGAGAGCCCAACTCAGTTCCCTATGTGGAAGACACTTCAGCTGCCAAAGCATCGCCCAGCTTCTGTAAATGGCATTTTAAGTGAAACTTTGATCAAATAAATTGTAAAAATCTATGCTGTAAGTAATCACTGCCTTCAGAACTGGAAACCTTTATCCCTCTCTCTTTATTTTGTCTGCATCTTGGTTTTAATAGTGAGGTTTATACTTTGCGTCGTAATGAGGGTTTAAAATGCAGTTTTGGTTCTTTCTGCTGAGCACCAAGTTTCATTTTATTTATTTGCAGAATGGAAGAGAAAGCTTCACAAATGTAGGTGCTTCTAAATCGCATTGGCGTGGTGGTTTGCATTTTTAGGGATAATAAATCTGAGATATTTGTAAAGTCCCGACACGCCAACTCAGTCACAGTGGTTTTTCTGAGTGTTTCCCATCCATGCCCTTCAGTTCCCAGCAGCTCTTCACGGGGAAAAGGAAACTAAACGACGCTGGCTCCTACACAGAAAGTTTGAAATGCTCTTGGGGAATTTACTCCCTGAGTCTATAATTTGGGGGCTGTAAGTCTTGTTGTTCCTTCTAGTTTTGGAAACCAATTTTAGCAGAAGAAGGCAAGCCAGACAATCTTGGCCAGATTTCGTTTTCAAAGACCCAGTTTTGTTAAGAACAAGAAAATCAAATCATATGCTTGAGCGGCTATTTGTAATTGTTCTTGCCAATGAATATTTCACGTGTCTGGATGAACACTGCTTGAAAAATGGCAGATGAAGGAAAGTTCTTTTGACTCTGTGTGTGGTATGTGTGGTGTGTAGGTGTGTGTGGTATGTGTGATGTGTAGGTGTGTGTGTGTGTTGGTGTATGTGTGTGGTGTGTGTGATGGTATGTGTCTGTGGTGTGTATGTGGTGTGTTTGTGGTGTGTGTATAGTGGTGTGTGCGTTATTTGTGTGTGCGGTGTGTGTAGTGGTGTGTGTTATGTGTGTGGTGTGTGTGTGTATGGTGTGTGTGTTATGCATGTGTGGTTTGTGTGTGTGGTGGTGTGTGTGTATGTGTGTGGTGGTGTGTGTGGCGTGTATGTGTGGTGTGTGTTATGCGTGTGTGGTGTGTTTATGTGGTGTGTATGGTATGTATGTGTGGTGTGTGTTATGCGTGTGTGGTGTGTTTATGCGGTGTGTATGGTATGTATGTGTGGTGTGTGTTATGCGGTGTGTGTGTAGTGTGTGTGGTATGTATGGTGCGTGTAGGTGTATGTGGCGGTGTGTGTGTGTGGTGTGTGTTGTGTTGTGTGTGTATGTTGGTGTGTGCAATATGTGTGTGTGTGCAGTGGTATGTGTGGCAATGGTGGTGTGTGCAGTGGTATGGGCTGAGAGAAGTCTCAGTTAGGAGAAGGAATAATTGAGACCCTGAGGGCCCAAAGACCCAGATCCCGATGAAGGAGACTGGCTTGGGGCATCAGAGAAGGGGAGAGGAGAAGTCACCCCACAGATGGCTGGGAGAAGCTCGTATCCTGGAAGCACTCAGCAACATCAAGAGGGTCCCACTGCAGCCCCTTTACTATACAGCCCTTGCGTCTCCCCCATCATTTTCATCATTCCGTCCTGTGGTTGTTGGTAGTGGTCTGTTTACTTGTGTACTCCTGGGGCTTCTAGTGTTGAATCATTTAAGCTGTTGAATGAGGAAGCGGGACACTTTTGTGGAGTGGCAGAGGATGAAGAACGTGTTGACTCAAGCCGCCCATTGCTTTGCATCATGTGGGTTCAGCAAACCTGGGACAGCTACAGGTTAAAGGAGACAGAGAATGTGTGAGGTCTTTCTGGGTCAGAATGGAATCTGCTGAGTGCAGTGGCTCTCAACCTCCCAATGCTGCGACCCTTTAACATAGTTCTTCATAACATTATCTTGTTGCTACTTCATAACTGTAATTTTGCTACTGTTATGAATCGTAACATAAATGTTATGCAGGATATCTGATATGAGACCTCCCCGCGAAGGGGTCAGGACCCACAGGCTGAGAACCGCAGGGCTAGAGAGACAAGTAGAAAGACTAGCTCAGAGCACGCTAATGAGTAAGAGAAAAATAAGTACATATTATGCTTTGCTTATAAAAAGTCAATTATAAACAATCAAAAGCTAGCTGGACAGTGGTGGTGCATGCCTTTAATCACTGTACTTGGGAGGCAGAGGCAGGTGGATCTCTGCAAGCTCACAACCAGCCTGTTCTATAAAAACAAGTTCTTAGACAGCCAGGGCTATTGTAGAGAAACCCTGTCTCAAAAAAACAAAACCAACCAACCAAACAAACAAACAAAAAACCCCAACCAAACCAAACAAAAAATCATACAAAAAACCAGTTAAAAGCTAAATCCACCTGGTTTTCACATGATGCCTTAAGAAACCCAGACTCTCAAACTGAATGGCTATAACGAGCAGTCCCAACCCCCATGCTGCGGCGGGTGGGCCTGGTAGGCTCTGCTGTTCATGAGGACAGGGTAGGCTTGCTGTGCTCTGAGCTGCCACTTGTACAAGGACTGGTTTTTGAGTGCTATGCTTGAGTAAGCATAGAGTTAAAGTTGAGGATAGTGAGAAGAGAGGCTATGAGCCAAAAAAAGAGGCTCAAAAATAGGTTATGTAGGGGAGCCATTAAAGACACTGGGCTATTTTCTTTGAAGAAGGAAAGACTTGGAAGAAGTGATAACATCATCCAGCAACTGAAAGAGCTGCCAAGAGGAAGGGGCTGGGGTCGGTTCTGAATCACCTTGAGGGTGTGACTAGGAAGAATTGACAGAAACCAAGGGCAGAGCAGATTTCAGCTCTACACAGTCAGGACTTCTGAGCTGTCAGAGCTGCTGGAGAGAGGGAGAGCAGAGAGAGCTTGTCAGCTCGGTGCTCCAGGACACACGGCATGCCCCGTCAGCAGTGCTGGACCACGCCGGATATCAGACTAGCAGGACTTACACCGGAACCCATGACCGACAGTGACCTTCAACTTACCATTTCCTTATGGGGACTGCCTGCGAGCCGTCATGTGAACATGGTTAGCGAATGCAGGCATTCGACTGATACAAGGCATTGCTACATTCTCAAATGATCTTAACTCCGCCCATCATCACGATCTCCACTTCCCTCTTAACTTCTCTAGCTTTATAAAGATTCTAATGTATCAGTGTCAAATGTGATATTATGACTACCATTCAAATTTTTAAAACGTTTCATAAAGTAGTAGTCTTTCATCTTTTTACCAAGGAAGGAGAGACCACGTATTTCATATGCCAGTCATGGTCCTGGCGCTTGGGTGCAAAAGGCTGAAATAACTGAGTTTATATGTATCACCTTATAGGGCAGAACTCATTGGTATCAATATCAATTTTTCTCACAAAAAAACTATGTAAAAATGTTTCCACAATAGTAAGGAGTAAATCAACATACCCACTAATAAACAAACTCCATTTACTGTGATAAAACTTGACTAGGGTCTTTTATCTGGCATCTTCTTATGTCCCAGGAATTTTCAGGCCCTGCAAATGTGCCATTGGGTGACAAGGCTAACTAGTCACAAGGTATTATGACTCAGAAGAATTGCCAGATAAAAGAAGAGTTAAATTTATTTGTGATGGGGCTGGAGAGATGGCCAGAAGACCAGAGTTTGGTTCCTAGCACTTACATCAGGAGGTTCATGACTGCTTGTCACTCTCCAGAGAGATGGGACACCTCTGTTCTCCTACTCATTACACACACACACACACACACACACACACACACACACACACACACACATTGATCTTAACTTTACTTGAGATGTTTGACATATTTTCTCCACCAAATTCCAATATTGTGATTATGTATAGCAAAAAAATGTACCATTTCAATTTTTCCCACCTATTTATGACTTGACAGAGAATGACACAACCAAGGCAAGGTAGGCTGAGCAAAAGGAAATAGGAGACCCGAGAAGAGAGGTAGCTAGATATACACTCGGACCTGTTCTCCAAGTTGTTTGTGTTAGGGTGTCAACAGGATATCTGTGGCGACACATCTGTGACACACCTTCCCATATCACAACCACATCACCCGAACAATGAGGAGTAAGGAAAACTGGGCTTTTGTTCAAGCCAAGCATGCCTAAGAATCAATGGGGTCACTTGCTAGCCTTCTTGTTAACAGATCCTCCTGTCCATCTTTGTGAAATGCTTGCTAAATCTACAACACAGTGGGGGGTCTGGACCTGTCTCCATTAGCCCTACTGTTGGTCTGCTTCATATCCACCTAAGCTTTTTGCGTGGACCACTTAACCCTCAGGATGATCAATGCCATGTCTTCCAAGCAGAGAATTCCAGGTTAGCAGATGGAAGTGCTCAGGTTGTTCAGAGTGGGCACAACTGAAGCAGATACGGTCACCAAAAGGCATTCTGCACATGCAACGGAGATGAATCTTCCATACCTTGACTCCCATAGCTGGCATCGATTCCAGACCCATCCCAGGAATCCACAGCACTGTCCACGCTGGGCACCGTGGAAGGGTACACGTCAGAGAGCTTGCTAGGCTTCTGTATCGTGGAGGAGTCCTCTTCACCGTCTCCCAGGTCACTCGAGTGGCTGGGGATGGGGAACTTCTTGGGACTTGATGCTGGTTGGGCTTTACAGACAGGGAAAGGGGGGGTATGTCTCAGTGTAAATTCAAATGAAAAGCTCCTTGAATACTCTAGCTAGCGAGTTATTTCCCTAGAAACGCATACAGACAGTAAGCACATTCTTTTAGGAAAGGAAACACACTGGAAATCCTTAATTGGGACTTCTTGTCTCACTCACCATCTGTCTGTTTCTTGATTTTCAGGGTGACAGTCTCTCCTGCCATCTGGAGCAAGTGGATGGCTTCACTCAGAGGCTTCCCCTTCAAGCTGCTGCTGTTGATGGCTAAGATTCGATCTCCGATATGAATTGCTCCAGTCCTGCAACACCAGACAGGGGCAGGGAAGGTAGATACAATCCCTGTCTGCTTCCTGGGGTAAATTTCCCAATAAGCCTGCACATTAGTTATAATAAAGACTTGGGGAGGTCTCTAAGCTTCAAACTTAGCTTCCTCCTGGGAAATGCTGTCATGGAATCTGTTAGGAATTATTTTTTTCGTTCTTAATAAAATTAGAAAACACGTCTTAATAAGTTTCGAGAATGGAACTGAGAAAGCTCAGTCATCTCGTAAACGCCTTACAGGTTTCCAGGAGTGAGCTCTGTGGAACAACAGATGCAGCAGTGTGTGGCAGGTGGCAATCTGATTCCTACAATTTTAAAGTGTTTACTACAGAGAGGTGCTCACCTTACCATAAGACAAGGACAAGACTGATGTGTGTAGACAAATCTCAGAAACCTCTATCTGTCTGTCTGTCTATCATC